TGATCTTCACGTGTGTGTGTGTGTGTGTGTGTGTGCGGGTGCATGTCATCAGACTTGGGATCGGTTTCAATGGCGCCGCCACAACCAGAAAAGCTGTTATACACACCCGCATGCAGCAACATACACACTTCGTTCACAAGGGATACCTTTGCACAGCTGCCCACCCAGAAAAACCCCGTCTCCTTCCTATACACACTTGATATTCTTCTACAGAAAAACATGCCTATTCTGCGCCTCGCTCTGAGTCACCTCTACAACAATGCAGCTCTGTAAACTCCCCATATTAAATTACAATACACATGCATGCGCAAACACAAACAGCTGCTGAACAGCGCAGGTCAATCCATGCACACCAACACACCCTACTGCATTCTCAACATGAAGTTTGATACCCATTTGAAAAAAGACCCTCTGTGTGTGTGTGTGTGTGTGTCTGTGCATGGAAGAGTGTGTGAGCATTTCAAAAGCTGCTAGTTTTAATTTAAAATGTTACTTTTAATTTCTTAAAATAATAGGCGTTATTTTGAATGCATTTTTCCAATCAGTTTTATTCATATTGTGCTTAGGAGGTATTACAACTATGTTAAATAACATATATGAATGTCTGCATCTTTGCCAGTCACTTAGTGCATTCAGGAAAGGCTGGCAGAGATAGTAACTGTTGTGTTTTCCCCTCATGTGTAATGCAACACAGCCGGCAACTATTAACCTTCTAAGCAGGAATGTGGGAGGTCCAAGAATTCCAATAAAAAGCAGCAGTGTGTGCGTTCTGTATATGTGTGTACTCACACATGTGTTAGTCAAAGTGTTACAGTTATCTGTCAACAGCCCCCCCCCCCCCCCCAGACACACCCAATTACCATCCCTGACCAATAACCAAAACAGTCAATATGGGGTCATGTTGTGGCTACAACCAATGGCATCACAGTAAAACTAGGCTCAACTCACATCTCACACACACGGCTTCAAGACACATTTAGTTCTGATGCTGTGTTATCCGCGTTAAAAAAAAGTGAATTGTAAATGGAGCTCTTTAGTGTCAAACATCACAGCCATGCAGCTGATCAAACAGGTCTGAGAGGACAATAATCCATAGGATTCAATGGCCAGATCTGAGGTTAATGTGTGGGTCCCTAAGGCAGTGCTGGACAGTGGTCAGAAGCACCACGGGTAATGCTGCCCTGTCGGCTGTGGTCTCTCTCTGGTCTCCCTGGTCAAGGGCGGCACAGTGGTGGGGAGGTCCATTAGTGTCGACTGGCTGAGCACATTGTTCCCTTTGGACACATTCCTGGCTAAATACAGACATTTCCACAACTGAAGGCCGCCTCCACCAGAAGTCATTTGTCAACTTCAAGCGTCGCAGACGGCCATATCAAAAACTTTTATGGAGAACTGTTGTGACGAGGAAAAGTAGGCCATGCTGCCTCTGCAATGGGAATGCTCATTTTGTCTGTCAGAAAATCAATCGTTAAAACGTCACTACCTAATAAAGTATTATCACAGTGTAAATATTGAGTGCTGCATTAAGATTTTAGCGTACCGTTTGCCAAGCAAATATATTTGGGCTTAATAGCTTTAGCAGTATTCCAAATAGCTGATATGTTCATGATTTTTGGCACATAACTCATTTTACCAGCTTTTTTTTGTTAATGGAGCAGATACCCGGTTCTGCTGTGGAACATCATCTAGTTTAGAATTAAAACATGTTGTGTGAGTCACAGTCTCATAAACCAGGCTGTAAAACTGTATTGGGATAATGGGAGATGGTGGTTTTTGCCGTGGTCAGCACTGCGAGGGACTTTTCACAGATAAGGCTAATCACGGCGCTTATCATCACAGCGCTTGTGTGTTGAGATTGAAAAGCATATGCTTTGCAATCGCACACATAAACCCACACAGGGAAAAGGTGAACATTTTACTCTCTCGATTTCTTGCTCACAAGCTACCCTTTTGTCTCCTGCCCTGCCACATCATGAGGCAGGACTGTGTGTGAGACTGTGTGTGTGTGTCTAGAATAAATGATAAAATGGCTCCAAAGCACGTCAATCACTCCGGGGAAGCAGCACAAAACAATCATCATTAAACTCCGTCGTTGAAAAATAGAGCGGGATGTCCACATTTACCTCACTCTTTCTTTCACGCTCCCTCTCTCACACACACACACACACACACACACACACACACACACACACACACAC